GTGGTGTTAAACTTATATATAACTGTGAACAACATTTATTATGTCTCAAAATTTTCGCTAAATATAATGATTTCATAATAAGTGATGAATTATTTTGATGAAAAAACTTTACCAACATTTCTACTTTCATTTAAGATACAGTTCTATGTAATTGATTAACCGCGCTTCACAGGCTCAACTCCATTTTTTAATAAGATTAAATTTTTTAATTCCATCAATTAAAATTACCATCAGTGGTTTATTAAAATTATATATAATTTTTTTTTTAAATTATCTTAACAATTTGAATGACTTCATAGTCGTCAATCCCAAAACATCTTGGAAGGTTAGGATAAGAGGTTGGCAGAGAACTCCAGATACCATCTTAAGTTCATTGTGTCGTTGTTACCATGCCAAATAGCGGACCCATCCAATCAAACAACAAACAGCAACTTCTGCATCTTCAATTTTACACGTATGAATATTTTCACAATCATCAAAGAAAAAGATAAAATTATCACGTGTAATTTTATGACAATCAAGTGGATTATAACCACCATTTGATTTGAGTTTTTGATTTTGCAACGATGTATCCCTTTTATCATTACATTTTCTGAAACGAAGTTGCATCAAATCCATCTCAACTATCACGTAAAATAAGGTTGAGTTCATAGTGAGGTAAATTTCGAAACTGTAATTTGTACCATTTATCAAATTTGAAAATAATGAGAGGTAACGAACATTATGTAATATAAAAGAAGAATCGAATTCGGTTGATCTTGGAAAACGGTCCGACTTATCTAATTAAATAATAGTTCTTCATGAGGTAGAATATCATGATGATATCTTACTAAATCTAACTTAATGGGATTAGTTTATTCACGATTCATTCCATCATCTCAATATCCTCTTTAGTCCATCTTGAAGGATTTTGTACAATCGTAGGATTTTGCGCAAAAGTACACTTCATCAAGTAATTCCAAACATCGATTTCATCTAATGCAAGGTCATCTCGTTGAAGTAACGCTTCCAATCATGACGATGGTAGTGTTAAATTTTTCTCGGTTTAAAATAACATATCAGGTTCTTGACAAAATATTTAAAAACAAAGTTCTCTTAGTGAAATAAATGGCTCATGATGAAAATGATTTCAAGCATTCCAAATGGATCCTTTTTTAAATACCCATCTTGTTGATTAATCAGATATTTTGAAAGTAAACGACGATTTGTTAAATTGCAAGTTCGTCTATCGCTTTTAAAAATTCTAATTTATTTCGTTTGATCAAAATTTATCGTACCACTAAAAATATAGCAAATACAAATTTCAATAAAAAAAAAATGATAATAATAAAGATAATAAATTGAAGTGTAATGAAATTCTCAATTTACCTAAGAATTATTTGAAATATGTTTCCTGAAATATTTTGTTTCCTATTCCACCATTTTTTCGGACTTCGGATCAATTAGCTCTTTGAAAATTTTGAGATCGACAACGCAAAATAATATAGAAACACTTTGTTCTTCTCCAACATAAATTATAACGTTCAAAATCTTGAAAACCATTAGTCATATCAAAACTTCTTGATAATCATAAGTTATACTTATGAATTTCGTAATTCATATTCTTTCATGTGGTAATTTATATGTATATAAAAAAAGAAGAAAAATTGAACGAAAAAAATCATTTCAAGTGGGAAATCATTTATAAAAGCGATGATGATGTAATGTGAAACAGGTCACAGCAGATTTACATTGAACAAGTATATAATCCTGGAAATTCATTATAACTTTTCATTTCAAAAAAAGATAACAATGACATTCGAATATCCTCAAGAAATTATTAATGATTTAGAAAAATTACTTGAAAATGAAGAAGGGTACGATGTTATTATCTACACCGGTGAAAATGAAAACGTGAAGGAAATCCACGCACATTCGGTTATTTTACGCACAAGGTCACAATATTTTCGTGCGTCATTTTCCAATGAATGGGCCGAGAAAAGAGACGGAAAATTTATCTTTAAAAAACCAAACATTTCTACTCAATTATTTAAAATTATTCTAAGGTAATGTGAAAATAATAAGGATATGGTAAAATTAAATTCCGCAATATTCATCATTTTTTTTATTTTTTTCTTTTTGCGTTATAGATTTCTTTATTGTGGAAAGATTGATTTGACAAAATTACAAGGACCTGATACATTAAAGCTTTTAATTGCAGCAGATGAGCTTAATATTCAAACCTTAATTCTTTGCATTCAGGAACACTTGGTTAAGCATCAATACGAGTTTTTGCAACAAAATCCTATAGGAATTCTTGAAACAGTGTATCAGCGCGAGTCATTTACCGAGATTTTGGATTATTGCCTTGAGAAAGTCTGTGAAGAACCCGAGATATTGTTTAATTCTGATAAATTTATCAGTTTGAAAACACCTTTATTGGAGTCCTTTTTAAAAAGAGACGATTTATGTTTAGACGAAATTGTTATTTGGGATAGCTTGGTCAAATGGAGTTTGGCTCAACATCCCTCCATTCAACATGACGTTAAGAAGTGGAACAAAGAAGAGATTACTATTGTGGGGAGAACTATTCACAGATTTATTCCATTAATCCGATTTTATGAAATATCTTCCGAAGATTTCCTTTTTAAAGTTTATCCTTTCAAAGCCTTATTACCCGAAGATTTAGTTATTAATGTACTCGCGTCTCATATGGCTCCAAACAAGAAATTAAATATCGAGATACAACCACCAAGACAGTCAAAAAATGTTTATGATTCAGTCTTAATTAAATCTCAGCATTTTGCTATATTTTCTAGTTGGATCGATAAGAAAGAAAATTTACATTACAATAGAAAGAGAATTCCCTATAAGTTTGATTTACTTTATCGTGCCAGTAAGGATGGCGGTACAGCTGCAGCGTTTCATCAAAAATGTGATAACAAAGGGGCTACTATATTTATAGCAATAATTAAAAATTCAGAACAAATAGTGGGAGGATATAATCCACTTTATTGGGATCAAAGTGGTCATTATAAGTCAACTAAGGATAGTTTTATATTCTCATTCGTAAATAGAACAAACCTTCAAACTGCAAAAGTAGGTTATATCATAGATAATTATGCTCAATATGCTATACAATGTTATCAAAGTAACGGTCCAAGATTTGGTGGTGGTGTTGATATTTATTGTAATAATAATACTTGGGGTAGTAATAACCACCCACATACTTATTCTCAAATTGATATTCCAAAAGGCAATTTTCAAACAGATGATTATGAGGTATTTCAAGTTACTAAAAAATGAAACAGTTACTTAATACGAAGTGTTTATTAAAATAAATTATTCAATATTTCAATAAAATTATTCATCTTTTCATACATATTCATTTTTAGTAATGCAAAAATTTATAATCAGAAAGTAATCCATTTTGTTGCATGCGAAAATTGCAATCTTAACAGATATAACCTCTATGATATTACAGAATGTATCGGCTTATTTGCTAAAACATTAGTATAGAAATAAAGTTTTGATATATTTAAACTTTTGTTTTTCGTAATAAAAGAAAAAATAATCTCTAACCTAAATTCAAACTTTGTATTTATTTCGAATTATATTCTTTCATAATCAGCAATGATACTCCTATTAATAACGTATTATTCATTCAGCAACCGTTGGAACCAGTATAAAGATGTGAAGTCGTGATGGATTGTATCTAGGCTCATTAATAAAAAAAAAATTTTGCATTCACATTTGTAAAAGGTTCAAAACATTGTCGAAAGTAATTATAAATATATTTAGTGGATCTTGAACTCCGATAAATAAAGCTTTCTTTTTAAATTCATTAATTCATAATTATTAAAATTAATTAAAAATGAAGTAGAATTTGTCAAGGTCTTAATATTTTCAAAGTTAAAATCAGGTTTTGTGAATTTTTTAACAAAATTTCGATTTTTGTAATTAGATTAGATTAAAATGCGATAGGATCTTAATTTTAATCGAAAAATTCTCTATGGGAGGTTTGTTAGTAAAATAACGTGATATTAATGGCAAACCTCCCATATCTAAATCGAGAATCTGATAACTTATCTAGAGGTACTCTTAAAGAGATGGTAAACAAATAAGTCAAATCGTATTATACTCATAAATTGAGAATTGTTAAAAAGTTTTGTTCATTTACTGTGGTTTTAGCCGCAGGATTAACTACTAAGTTAAAATTATTTACTACGCCGTATTGCGTCATATATTGTAGGAAATAAATTAGAATGTTATATTAATTAAAGAATTCTGTATATATATCCCTGTTTAAATGTGTTAAATGACAACTTTTAAAAGATAAAATTTAAAAAAAAAATTCCAAAGAGATATTATAAATCTTAATAAAGTAATGAAGTTTTGAATAATTACAATTTCTCCACACCTTGCGAGAACATTAGAGATGCGACTAAAATCGTTCAAATTGTTTAATTAATATTCAGTTCCTCGAATAAAGAATCAAATACTTTAACTTTACGGTTACAATTCTACTATACGAGGACACGAAGAAAAGTTATGGTAAATTGATCACTTTATAATTTATTTACGTTGTTTACCAGCTATTAAATGTGTGTATGAATTGAACCTTAACGTTCATATTTCCGGAGATGGAAAAGCAGTTAATGTAATAGTCAAAGCTCGATGTTCATAATAACTAGATTTTATAAAGAGTTCATTATAACAAGTAAAAATCCATTATAAAAAATGAATCGTGAGAACAATAAAAGGAGAATTATTATACTATATCGAGTTCTCTATAACCAGAAATTAATATAATTAGAATAAAATTTATCGATCGTTAATAATTTTACAGACTTATTAAATAACATTTGTAGTTTATGTATTTAATACTTGTAGATTGATTTTTTTTATATTTAATAAAAACGTATGCGACATTATCATACTGTGTATAATCAAAAATCCCAAATTTATTATTGTATTTATTAAAACTATTTAAAATTAAATGAATAACGAAAACCATTAATCTAGAAAATAACTGTAGCCAAAGTCAATACAATAATCAATACATATGAACTAGATCCCTCAGAAAGTAATTTACTATTCGCAGCAGAGAAAGGTGGGTTATCGGGATATTTATTATCTGTAACGGAAGCAGTGATAACTGGAGTTTTCTCATCGTCTTTATCAGTACTATTATTATTGGACATTTGAATGACGGTAGACGTGAATGAATAGATTTCGTCTAAGTTATCATTATCATTAAATTGTATAAGACCTTTGAATACAATGGAACCATCTGGAGGAATAGAACGTTTAAAGGCTTCTTGACTACCCTTATCCTCATTGGTTAGATATGAAGTTGATCCAATCGTAGAAGATGTGGTAGGGTATAATACAGGTGAGGAAGTGGGTGTTTCAGTTGTGGGAGAAGTTGTTATGGGCGCGGAAGGTGAAGATGAGGTAATTGTTCCTATGCTGCCAGCGCTAGGTGGATTCCATTCATAAGTTACCGAACTACCTATAAATAAATGAAAATAATAAAATTTTAAATCAACATAAACTTTATTTTTTAAACCCTTATACTTACTATTAAGATTTGACAGATTTTTAATCGTTGCTTTAGCGTCTCCTTTACAACCAGCAACGTTAGCATATCCAGGAATTGGAGTCCAAGTACCAATGCGCGTTCCATCATTATTAAGCTCAGCCCAGATACTAATAAATGTTATGGAATTTTCTTTAGTCGCAACTTGTACAGATATTTTAGGTCCACTTGGAATCCATTCATTTGCTTTTACAATTACGTCCGTTCCTTGTGCAACATCTTGAACTTTTTAATTTAATGAAAAGTAATGTGAGTTGATTTTTAAACGAAAACGTAGTTTGAAGCGTCCAAAGAGGAAGGATACTTACCATTCGCACAATCGTCAAATATTACGGCGTTTGCTGGCGTGGCTACGTATCCAACGTATAAAATTATTAACCCCAAATAAGCCGATATTAAATTATAGTATCTGTTCATCATTATAAATTATTTTCTCTACACAATTTTTAAAAAAAATATATATATAAGGGTTTTTTTGCGTATTGGTACCAATATTCCTGAAGTATCTTTTTATTTTGACATAGATGATAATATTGTAAAGGAATTTTTTTTCTTTAAAAAAAAAAAAGGAAAGAAAGGAAAGAAAGTAAGAAAGGAGTTTAAAATATTTTTATTTTTATTTTTATTTTTTTTTAAGGGATTACTTAATTTATAGGTTCCGAGTATATTAAAATTTGAAACATTTTATATACTCATACTAAAGAGATTCGCGATTCATGAAGAATGAAGATCTTCCCCCAAAAAATAAAATAATACTCATTTTGGAAATAAAAAGAGCTTGCAACATGAATTTAACATTAAAATTTTGATTTTTTTGGAAATGATTTCCTATTGACCCGCGTGATTTTGATTAACCGCGGGACAGTTATCAAAAAAACAAAAAAAAAAAAAAAAAAATCAGAATCGACTGCTATTTTCAAATAATTGAACCGACAAAATTAAAATTTCAAAATTTTTAGCCTAGTGTGATTTAATAGACAATTTCATTCAAAGTGTAACTTTAATCTTCATTATTTATATACTTATTGAATTAATAATAATATTATGATTGTTAATTTTCAAATGGAGAGTCGCAACATTGTTAGACTGAAGAGGGTCTAAAAGATGGACTGATGTATCGACTTCAGAAATTGCCGAGACGTGTATCAATAAATGTGGAACATTTGCACGGAATAAAGAAATTCATTAATTACGAGTTAACAGTATAAAATTAATTTGTTCTATTGTATTTTCGCAACAGAAATGTATGAAATACCAAAAAATAAAATTTTTAAAGTATTTTTGGAGAGGGTCTTAAATTCTGTTCAAACTCTTTGAGCTAGATAATGAAGTGCAATAATTAATTCCAGAGAATGTCAACCTGTCTGTATGCTGGGTTAATTTTGTTGAAATTGTTTCATATATTTTAAGGAGGGTAGGAGAGACATTTAATAAATTTCATGAGGTCAGAGAGGGCATTAATAAATAAAAAAGTATCATTAAAGTAATAAAAGTCGACGATCCTGATACTACGATGAACAGAAGCCGAAAGAACTTTTTAACCGATGATCTCAAAGCTCATTATAAAGTAAGATTTTCCTTACGCTTTCTCTGTGAAGAGCTTTGTCCATGGATTCATGAGAATGCCTGTTATTACGCATTTGTAAGGCTATTTCAGCTTATCAGTCATGTGAAATGTCGGAAAATTTTGGACCAAATTTAGTTCTATATAATGTCGATCATTTTATCAAATGATCTACACATGATTTTTCGCCACTTTTTAAACTTTATCTGTAACGAGATTCCTTTGCGAAATTCTTTTAAACAAATGGGAGGTTGCTAATAAAATCATGTGGACATTCTATTTCCGTTCTGGACGCATTATTAACCATTTCCAATTTCCATTTATTACCTGCAACAAGATATTCGAGATTGTAGGTAAGTTGAAATAAAGATTTTAAAAATCTTCCTGCCTAGATCTCTAGATCGCAATAAAGCTTTTGAAAAAATAGAGAGAAAATAAAATCGAAGAATATGAAAGACCTATTAACCAATCAAGCTTCATGCATTGAATTTCCTAATTGTCACTTTTCAAATAGGATAAATTCCGACTTGTATACAATTAATTCGAGTGATTCCATTTTTAACACTGTGATTAAACCACTATGATTATATTTTAAATAGATATTGTTAAATAAGATTAAATTCGATGACATATTTTTTATTATCATAGATGTTGTGGCTTAAAGTTGCTTAATCCCGTAATTATGTGGCTTATTATCTCTTGTTCATAAATTAAATCTTATATAATTTTAATCATAACTCCAAAAAATTTTTTTGACTAAATCAAGAATAATAAAAAAAAAGGAATTACTTTACCCTTATCGAATATATAAATGTTAATACTAATTTTAGTAATATTTAAAAAATAATAATGAAATGATTTAGAAATTAACATATCATAATTTACATAAGATTTAGATGTTTAAGAATTCGTTCCATGGAATACTTAATTGGTCGGTAACGTTAGGAAAGAATATAGGATAATTGAAATTATCATCGAACAACTTAAAACAAGATTCTGGGTTATTGTCCTCAACGAATGAGAAAGGTGTATTGTTGTTATACAACGGGTTTGGCAAATAAATGGGTAATGAGTTGATGTACGGTGGATAGAAATTCTTCGGTTCTTCAAAATTAAAGGAAATAAAGTCTTCTTCGGGATAAGTTGGTGTAAGCGGACCATCATCATTACCAGGTTTCGAAAATTCCGGGGTGATTTGATCATAATTAATAAATTCTGAAAATTCCTTAGGATGATTCACCACACTGAAGCTGAAATAACGTGAATTTTCGATTTTCGGAGAAGTTTTATTTCGCAAGGTGTCGTCTGAATCCTTTTTTTTACTTTTATTAGGATATTCAAAAATAAATCTAGGGTAGACGGATTGTTGATTATTATTTCGACGCTTTTCTTTTAATAATTTTTGAATATCTTTCTCGATATTTTTGTAATATTCCTTAACGACTTTCGGTTCATTGGACCAAAACCAGCTTGCCCATTTACTGACCCTTATCATCTTATCATTATAGTTTTCCAATTTTAGTTGCCTTACAAACAATTTTCTGTAAATAAAGAATGAATTCGGTGGTTTGAAATGTAATCTGGAAAGTGGTCGATCACGGATGAATTCTTCTGCCGTTATCTTTGGTGGAAACGGCATATTGATCTTTGGAATATCCGAAGGAAGGTTCGATAATGAAGTTTTGCTCAACGTGTTTACTCGAGGCATAATTAAATTAGTCGATAGGGTTCCTTTTTTTTTAAAAAAAAAAAAATAAAAATAAAAAGCAAAAGAAAAGATTGAAAAATAAGACGATTTTTCTTTTTTTAAAGAAATTTTGCGAGGTTAAATAATATATATCTCGATAAGAACTCTGATTTTCCCTTTTTATTTTTTTTTTTTTTTTGTTCGTAGAGAAATTGGTCGAGCTTAAATAAGAAAAAAATGAAATCAAAGAATATTTTGGTAGAGTTCCAATCCCCTGCCGTGCTATGATGATTGATATTTGATATGGAAATCTAGAATATTCGGATATATGTATGTGATTATGTAGTTAAAACTCAAATCGACGTTCGTTTTATTAGCTTCAGCCGGCGGCAAATCCTCCATAATGCAAATAACATAACATAGGCATTGTGGGGGTTGGATAATTACAATCTCAGTTTACCGCAAGGAGATGATTTTCCGCTTCACAACGATTTGCTCGCTTTCATCACGATGATCATTGAATTTCCAAAAGGATGTGTAAAAAATTTTTTTAATTATATGAACCATTTCTGTTTGAAGTTTACAAAAGAACTCCGGTTTGACAATAAAGTATCAAAATTATCTGAATTACTTGGAATATCTATCTATCTATATAAATTTAAATTGATGAAAAATCAGCGTGTCAATTCGAAATATTTATCCGACATAAATAATGTTTATTTATTTTCTATCATATATCATTTAAGAAAATGAGTCGAATTATTTTTTTTTTTTGAGATTACATAACCCATCTTTCTTCTGCTGTGCACCTAATCACCCATTAAAAGTAAGAATCAATAAAGTTATATTGTGGCTGAGTTATACAGTATAACTTTTCCTAATAAAAAATTTCCTTTTTTTATTTTTTTGATAAATAATGTCGAGCTTGGTGTTTAATTCAAGTTTCCAAAATTAAATAAATTTGTACTATTTTTTTTTGTTATTCTTCCCGAAATACTCACGTTTAGTATATTTAATTTCCAATTTACGTTCTGTTTTAGGTAATTCGATAATTATATATTTATGGCAATTGGTCAATTTTTCTCAATAAAAGTATCAATGATTGACCTCCCAAATTAGGTATATTTTACATTTCTCCGTAAAAAATAATCTTTAAAAAATTACAATCAGTCCTTAAACGGTTTTGTGGTCGGAGTGTTTCCTGAAATCTCGGAGATTTGAAGTTTCTTGTTCTTCCTTTTTTAAGGTTATAGATTTCGAACAAAGTATTCAAATAGGGTCCGATAACAACTCAAAATACAAAAGGAATTAGCCCTTTTTTATGAATTTTTTTTTTTCTTGTTAAAGTTGATTTTTCAACAAATTTAATGTGCAGATCAGTATCTCATTGACAAAATACAAAAGTTTCCTAATTGTAATTGCTATTAGCTATTAGGCGTACTGAATATAGGATTTTCTATTAACTGCAAGCAAATCAATTCATTGCATAAAATAATAATGTGAATGCCATCTAATAAAATAAAATTAGGAACCCCCCCCCCCGTGCGAGAATTGCTGTGCGGATTATAAGTGTAAAATTTTCAAATTTTCGTGTGTAGATTTCATGACAATAATTAATTATGCTAAAACGCAATGTTATATTAGAATGACGTTAATGTTTTATCTATTAATCGCAAAAGAAAAAAATGAGGATGCCCGGTGCAGGAATTGAACCCGCGCCTTCACGATTGTACAATAATTTTGAAACCCTTGAATGATGTGACGTTCTAACAACTAAACTAACCGGGCTGATTTTTTAAATCACGAGAGAAAATTAATAAATAATAATAAATTTATGACGGATCTGTCAGATTCTATTATTAAAACTTTGCTTAAAACTTTCAGAATGATGATTTAAAAGCGATTCACGACCTGCCGATACATGAACAAATTTTGGTCAAACAACTTTGACCAAATTCATTATGACCAGCAAAGAATATAAGCAAATTCCTTAAACATATAACATTTGATTCGCACCAATTTATACTGATGGAAAGGGAGTTTCAAATTGCAAAATTGTAGGTGTAAAAACGAGAGAATGTGATGGGCTAATTGTCTGAAGCGTAAGCGTAGGACACTTTTGGTTAGAGCTGAAACCATGGCATGTGGTGTCTGCCCACGCGTGATCTACCAAATCATGTGATAACTATAATATCGATTTGTGATTGGCTAAAATTTAAGTATGGTTGATCAACTAATTTGAACGCTTCGGACGGACGTTCCAACAGTTCCCCGTTACCTAATTTCGCCAATAACAAAGCCTATTAAGGGTTTTATATTTTATATTGGTTTGGATATTTACATAGGTCCCAAAATTAATTTTCCTTAATGGCGTTGATTATCCTATGACATATAATTTTTCCACCCAACCCATTTAGTCATTCATAATCACTATCACCACTTGATGTACAAATTACATTATGACGTAGTTATGATCGTTGAAAAAATATATTTTCTCTTTTTACTTGAAATAAACAAATAAAAAAAGAACAATGTCCTTTTCAAATTTAAGTCCAAATAAAAAAAAATAATGATAACGGGTTCATTTTAAGTTGTCAAATACACCTTACATTGAATGAGCAAGAGATTCGAATAAGTTTTCAATCAAGGTACTTTTGAGAAATTCAAACATCATGCACGGATTTTAATGGCCAAGTTTAATAAATATGTAAATATGTTTATTATTGAAAAAATAAAATTAATAGATTTATTGGCAAATAAGACTATTCTTAAATTGGTTGTTAATTTTAAATAATTTAAGAAATTTTTATCCGAGGATTGAATTTATTGCATTTATATCGCTGTAGAAAGAAAGTATCCAAAACACAGACGATGAGATTTTTAAGAAAAAGATAATTTAGAAATGATACTCACGAAATGAATAAACGTTAAATTACGTCCGTTTTCCTTTCTATATGTTTAATAATTTTAGCAGGATTACCGGCGACGACTACATATGACGGAACACTTTTAGTAACCTTATTAATAAAGAATTAAATTTTATTAGCATATGTGAAACATAGTCTTGTTTCAATTTGTATCTGTATTCTAATACATTACCACAGAACCCGCGCCAACAGTAACCTAAATTCCATATAAATAAAGAGGAGGATTGAATTGCAATTAGAAGCGTACAAATCAAAGGTAATTTGAAACCTACATAGAAAAATATTCACATACCCCATCCCCGATTGTAACTCCAGGACAAATAATAACGCCACCACCAATCCATACATCATTTCCTATCTAATTTTTTTTTTTTTTTTTTTTTTAAAAAAAAAAAAAAAGTGAATAAAAATTAATATCAAATTTTAAGAATAAGTTCGCCAATGTTTTATACCTTTATGGGAAAAGCTAATTCAGGACCTTTAGCCCTTTCTTCAGGCTCTATAGGATGAGTTGCGGGATAAAGGGAAACATTTGGACCAAATAAAACACGATCTCCAATTTCGACTTTATTACAATCCAATATTGTACAATTAAAATTACAATAAAAATTGTCCCCAACATAAATATTGTATCCCTAAATTCACATAATATCAAAGTTAACCACTTATTTCCCACGGATGATATGAATGATAATAAACTAAAAACTTACATAATCACAATAGAATGGCGGTTCAACTTCAACATTCTCACCAGCACTACCAAATAATTGCCGTATCATTTTTTCTCTACCTTCACGATATTCAACAGTACCAACACGAGCTGGTTTGGAATTATTATATTCATAAAGGATTTCTCTGGTTTTTAATCGATCATTAATTAATTCTTCGGAATAAGCCAAATATGGAAGTCCTGCAAGTGCCTTTTCTCTTTCACTTTGCATATTTTCTCTCGAGCTATTTGTTTCAGACATTTTGGTTTTGAAAGTAAGAATGTTTGATTTAAACAAAGGTTTTTTTTTCCTTAGCTTTTATATAAGGAATTTCTTAAAAGAACACGCCTGAATAGCTTCCACGTATTCACACATGAACATCCGAAATCATTGGCTGATCATTTAATTAAACGAAGTATTTTTTTTTTATTCATGAATGAAATGATTATTGATTAAATACAGAAGGATAATTCGGTTAAATTTAATTCTAATTTTAGATTCAAATACAAGATTATGCACTGCAAAATGTCATTATTATATTAGGCGCAGTATCATTTTCAAAAAATTTTGTAATTATTTTTTAAATGGACTTTTTATTTAAACTATTATAAAGATATAAAATAATTGTTCATTTCTCTTTTCAGTTGACAATCACTTTAATAAATTGAAATATAATGATGAAAAATTATTAAATCTTTATGATATTCAAAAACTGAAGTGTTAAAATTGAAATGCCATTTGAAACAATACGTGCACATGGCATTAAAGCATGCATTAAGAATCAAGAATGGTGTTAAATATTATATTTGTATTAAAAATTCTTAAATTAATAAAATTTTCAGCTCATTGGATACTTTCCAAGTATGGGTTAAGGATTGGGGTTAAAAGTTTATTAGAGATTAATTAATTTATAATAAAAGTAGAAATGGAAAATCAGATTCTGAAAATTTTTAAAAATATATTATAAGATCTTTAATTTAATTAAAAAAATTCTTAAAATCTGATTTTCCTATCCATCTTTTTAAATTACTTTTATACAAATATTTATTAAATTAATATTTTAAATATTTTGAAGCATAATCCTATATGTAAAAAAGTATAAACCTATATACAATTATAAACAATTACAATCAACTCTTTTATAATGAATTTTGATATAACAAATTTCACAATACATATATTTAGTAACACAGATTTTATAATAAAGAAAAGTCTTATTATACCAAATTTACTAGTTAAATACTATATAATGCTTAATGAAATAAAGTATATAAACATAATATATAGATGATCCTTTTTATATTTATTTATAACAAATTTTTTTTATACAATGAAGAATTTTTTCAAAAATATGAAAATTAATTTTTTTAAAAAATAAATAAAT